CTCAATGAGCGCCTTCACTGGCTGCGGTTAAAACAAGCATGAGCCCTATGGTTTGTACCACGTTTTACCACGCTCCAGTCTACCGTGGTTTCGTGACGGGCCGTCAGCAGGAAGTCTAAGCCGGAATTGGCCCAGAACAAAAGCAACAACTGCTCATTGGCATGTATTTTTTAACGTTTTTAAGGAATACCATAGGCTATTTAGCTGTTGGTAGATTTTGTTACGACGTTTCCCACTTTTGTTTTGGTTTCCTTTTTTTCGTAGATGTTTGTTCCAAAAGTTTGGGTGGCTGGACAGCTTCTTTGGACCGTCCAATCACCATGTGGCGATGACTGGCAGACGTGCCCAGACGCGCCCAGGTCTCTCGCACGAGCAGGAACGAGTCAAGTGGACTGGGGCCTCTAAGGGTGGAGTGCTTTGGAGCCTTTTGAATTCCACAAGTTGTTGTTTACGGATTTGTTCGTCTACAGAGTCTACATCTACAAAATCAACCCACAACCCATAACATCCCATAACTGTGTTTTGTGCGGGTTTCACATGGTTTCATTGAAGGGGGCCACGTTTCGAACAGAGAAGAAGCACTGGGAACCGTCCCATAAACCTGGGCGGACATGTTCTTCAACACGTTCCTGCTCTTGTGACGAGCAGCTCGTCATTTCTTGGCACAATGATTCAATGATTGCATGCAAGAGGGAAAGGGACATCCAAGCATAATATAGAGTAATATCTTCGGACTCTGGGAAACCAAGAAGGCAATCCATCACGCTGCAATCCACCACTGCCGTAAGTGTTTAAGTGCGAACATTGACCCCAATGAGGAGCATCCGGCAGCATTCGCTTCACGCATTCGCGCTTGTGCATGTGCATGCGCGCTTGCGCCCCTCACCTCTTTGAGCACTGTCAGGAGCGCCGCAAGACGGAAGAGGAGCTCTCCGCTCGCGGCGGCGGTCTGAGACACCCTGAAATGGGGACGTTGGATTTGTTTCTTTTTCTCCGAACCTCTCCACCGGGTCCTCTTTCGGTGTATCAAGCTACAGCTTGGACTTCGACTTCTCAGCCAGCCTCAAGTTGGAGGGTCTCCACGGAGGGTCCGACCGATGTCATCGTCTTGTCGTACGACAGAGTCCCAACGCGACCGAACGGAAGATCTAGGGCATCGCTACGGTACTAGCAAGAAGCTACGAGTGGCTCCTGGCCAATACTACTAGGAGCAAATACCTACTATAGTAGCGGATTAGCGTCCTTGCTAGTAGACATGCCCTTTGTTGCTAGTAAAGATGCCGCTGCATCACAGTCTTGACAGGTCCCAAAAACAAGCGCATAGGCTCGGACATGTTAGGGGGCCGGACCCTCAGATGGAGGGTCCGGAGCCTCAAAGGCCCAGGTCGTTTTGAGGGACCAAGAGCTGCTTGGAGCGTTTGGGTAACCATATTAATAGTGGTTCTTGCTGCAAACGGGCCTGCCTCTCGAGCTTGCTACCCTCAGTAAAGGCTTACTACCTCGTGTCCAGACTACCTCGTCAATCGCAAAATTCATAGAAGGCCAAGCAAATCCAATGAACCCATGAGGTAAACAATGAGGTAAATATGATTCAATGAACAAATAGCTCTGTTTTTCTATGTTTCGTCCATTCGTCGGAGAAAAAGAGAACCTGTGAGGATCGAAACAGAACCGAACGAGGATCGAACAGCACCAGCGAAGAGGGCTGGCTGGTTTCGTCATGGCACCTGGAAACCCTTGCAGGTTGACCATGTCAGGCGACGTTTGTTCTCTTCATCGCCCCTGGTGTTGACCCACATCCTCCGGTTTGTTCCCTACAGCCAGGGCGGGTGGAGTTTCGGTGATACCCTTTGCGCTTTTCTTTTGTGCCACGAGGAGCTACGCTACCGTGAGAAGGAGCGCGGTCGAAAGGAGTGTCGCTGGGCCATTGCCACCCAGAGAGCCGGCAAAACCGGTGAGCCAGTGAAGAAGCAATGTTAATGTAATATACTAAAGCATAGACTACTAGCGATGGCCTCCACCCTTTTAGCAGTGGCCTCCAGCCTACTAGCAATGGCCTCCGTCCTTCGAGCGATGTCCTCCAACCTACTCGCGATGGGCAGCGCAATATATTTTCTGATATTTTCTGATGACGCAAGCAGGATAGGATGACTTCCACCGCTATATGCATTGCCAGGAGTGTATGTGTTTTTCTCGCAGCAGCATCTTTCAGAATCGTGATAAATGCATTGGATTTGCATTAATAGTAGAGTCAGGACAGGATATCCTAAATAGTATTCCTTCCTTCGCATGAAATCCCTATTATTATATACATTCTGTACCACTACCAAAGGACGGCTTGGAATTTGCATGGATCAGCTGATCACCGCCAATATGGGTTATCTCGTGAGAAAATTGATGATGGTCCAGTGACGATTGCTCTCCCATCGTGATGCTGCACCAGGAGCACCAAGAACGCCATGCCACAAGTGAGGTTGTTGTATGCCCTGGGCCCAGACGTCATCGCTTCAGTTCGAAGCCCACAAATGTGCGAGTGAATGGTTGCCTCAACAAGCACCAGTGAACAGAAAAAGACCCCCAAATAGATAGAAAAGATCCCACTCAGAATGTATTGGAAAGCGTGCCACAAATACTCTTTGGGGACCAGTAGATACAAGCAGCACTGATGATGCTGGTAGCGGACTTCTCAAGGTCCTGATGAGTCATAAGTCATGGGAACTACAAATCCATTTAGTCAAGCTTCTTGAAGCGTCATGTGCCCACAGTTCCAAGAAAAGCGCCCAGCCTGGCAGTCTTCCCAAAGCAAAAACCCTCTTGGAGTCTTTTGCTCTTCACAAATCACTGTTGGATTCTCCAGTTCTGTGGTACTGCATCCTTTTCCTCCGTCTCCTTGGGGACTCAGGTCCTCATCCTCAGATGGAAGAGCGGATTGTGCAGAGCTTGGGCGGAGAGGCAAGCGGCGAATCCGGTCGGGGGTGTGGCGATCAGACCGGTGCTTACACTCCCAAGACCCAGACGTGGATGTCATGGCCAATTTCGTTCAGAAGACCCAGTCGACAGACCAAACAGGTGGTGCCATGGAGTGTACTTCGGTAGACGTTCTCGGCGTGTGCTTACTTCGGTTTTTTCACGTTCAGGGGGACGTTGATCAGTCAGTCGATCAGTGTGATGGTCCTCAGTGCAGGTTCGCACGTTCTGGTGAAGGGTTCGCACCAGAAACATGGGAAGAGATTGAATGCGAAGGTTCAATGATTTAAGGCTTGGACATTCTTTTGATTTGCTGGTGTTCTCATCTCCTATCCCTTGCAGGACCTGATCATAGAGGAGGAGAGGGACGTTCAACGGGCTGGGGCTTTGATGTGGGGCCTTCGCCAAGATTGGACCATAGAACAAAGCCTTGGTGCCCTGTTTGGTGATCTTCAAGTTCATTCAGAATGTTGGCGGTACGACTCGAAGCATGTTACATCAGCCTAATCTACTTGAGTTGAGGATTATAAGTTATAGTTATAAGTACACCTGAAAATGTTCACAGAACAAATTACAACGTGAAATCGGTCTTTAACATAGGCTATATTACATCTCTGTATTTTTGTTGCACCTTTTGCTATACCTGAAGATACCTGAATCGAGGATGGTGTTTCAAAGAGAAGCCCCACAGATGGAGCTTTTCCAAGCACTTGGGAAAAAAAAGAAGCGATGAACACCGACAAACCCGATGCTGCTGTGACCACTTCGCTACGCGAGCTCATCAAAGTGAAGAGCCCATTGACCGAACTGAAGAGCCCATCGATGTTCGGTTCCTTCGATTCACATCCAACATCGGTCTGTCGGAAGAGGACCAACAAAGAGAGGTCGTGGTGGAGCCTAGTCTGTGGTTGTGGTGGGCTTCGCGTCTCGTGTCGGGCTTCGTGGAATTCTTCCGGCTTCGTGTGTCTTTTTCCGTGTTGGAGAACTCGAATCCCGTCTCTTTGCAGTCTGACAGTCTCATACACAGTGTTTTCACAAGGGCCGTGTGACGGGAAACAAGGGTATCTTTGAAAAGGTATATGAATGACTTCTCAAAAGCTTGTCTCGAGATAGATCACAGCTTCTTTTTTTGGGGGTTTCGTTGTTCTGTTGCTTTGCGAAGGGCAGTGTGGGCAGTGTGGTGTTTGTGCTTCGCTCAGCGGGCGTTGTTATCGGCTGTGGCTGTGAAGCATCCAGCTGTGGGAACTGGCACCAGGAGGTTCGCTACATGGTGGGCGGGCTCGAGGTGTTGACCCAGCCCCGTCTTGAATTAATTTCAAACATGAAGATCTTTCCAGGAAAAGAAGCGCAGCCAGGGACCTAAAGACCTTCGGAAATACAGACCCAGTAGAATCCCTGCGAGACACCAGGTTATCAAAAAGTCTATAAGAATAGCGTTAGATGTATTGTTCCTGGAAACAAAGTTGCTTCGGACGGTAGACTTTCCCCACCTGAAGTCTAAGAGGTTGTCCAGGATTCTCTGAAACCACATGACCGCCAAGTTCTTGAAAATTAATCTCCCTTTGGAACTTTCAACAATTTCTGAAAGAAACTCGACATCGTCTCAGACTAAGCCGAACACTCAGAGTTCTTTCTTTGGAACACCGAGCCAACCGAGCGTCGCGCCACACGCCACGCGCGCCACGCTCGGCCGAGGAGCGCCACGCGCGCCACCCGCGCCGCAGCGCCGCGCCCCGCGCGCCGAGCACGAGCGACGTCCACGAGGCGCCCCTTCGCACGAGTCGCCGGGTGGTTTCGGATCTCCGGTTTTCCGGTTTTCAGAAGTCGAAGTCGAAGTCCGAAAGGCTTTGACGTTGCCCTCGGACTTCCCGTTGTTTTCGAAGGACGGAAGTTCGCCGCTGTGGCTGTGTTCGGAGCTTCGGGCCGGGGCGCGGGAGCAAAGGAACGAGCGAGGGAGGTGGCACCAGTTCGACCCGAGACGGCGAAGATCCAAGACACCATGGCCTATTTGGCCTCTTCAGGGAGAATGGGAGCAAAGGAAGCCCATGTTACACAGACCATGTCGGAGGCAAACGATCCGGAACTGTCAGCAGCTGATGCGGCAGCTCCCAACTTCGGGAGGATTTTTCACCTCGACATGGTTGGTGCTTAAACCATCTTAAACCACACATATCAACTACCCCAAAAAAGAACCCAACAATCCACCTACCACGCTGGTTTCTCCCCCACCGACCAACCGCCGAGTCTGCAAAGGAGCGGCGGCAGCAAGTCCTAGAGGATCGAATTCGACAAGTCCGAGCACAGGCCGGGACCGAGTCTGCCGTGACCCCGCTGATTTTTTGGCCGAGTCCGTGGGGTCAAAAAGACCAGGGCGGGGTGGGCTGAGGAGGCTGGGCGTTTGCTTCCCCACCAGTGCGGAAAGTGAAAGGCCAGCAAAGGCCTTCGCACTGAGGCGCCCGAACTGTCGGCACGGAGCCAAACAGGTGTTTGGGGATCCAGTGGACCGGTTGGGGACCAATGGACGACTCCGATCTCCGCAGATGCGTGCGTTCGGTCTCCGCTGGAGCTCTCTTAGTAGCTCTCTTGAGCTCTGGTTTTGTGGAGTGAAGGTTATGATTGGTGTTTCTGAGGTTATGTGTTGGGAGCTCTGGTGATGTGCTTCTCAGGCATGGTTGCTTTTTCGCTGTCATGCTAGCTTTCATGCTAGCTCTCAACCAAAAGGTCATCATGAATTTGCATCTGGTGACAACCACATCACAGGATGCAAATCCCTTTAGGTGGACCATGGTCGACTAAGTGGATCAGACCAGAGCAGCTGACTAACTCAGGCAGTTACTGCCTCACGACATCTCGCGACCATTTTTTTTGTGCTGCCCGAGTAAGGACGAACTCAACATCTCACAACAGACAGATGTTGGTTTGTCAATTGAACGAGTGGTTCCCTTCATCCAAGATGCAGTCAACGTCCAAGACCTGCACCAAGCCAACCGCCAACCGCCAACCGACCGGACCGCGAGGTGGAGCAACAACGCTTGGAGGAGACCCGCGTGGAACACACGCCGCTGGGAGCAAGGGAGTACATGGTCGAACACGGTGTGGAGTGCTTCATTTTGGGTAACCCAATGTCAGAGTACTGTATATGGCGCAATCCCCTAAACGGTCTAAAAAGAGGGGGGTTCCTTTTTCAACCACCGATATTGGGGATTGTGCCATCTACTCTCCATCCACTATAGTGGGTAGAACGGCGGTTTGAGCTGGATGAGCCAGGCTAAATTGCTTCCAACCAGCAGGTGTTGGCATCTTGGGGTCAAAGCATGTCAACGTGTGCGACTTAGCAACAGAAATCCTAGAATTGCTAGAATGAAGCGACGTGTTTTCTGGTTGTGTCAAGAAGGCCTTTGTGTATCTGGGTATACCTCCACTGTATAAAGTCTGATGAAGAAAAGGGCACGGAATTCGTCGGCCTTGGCTCATCAAAAGGAAAGCTTAAAGTGTGTTTGAAAGTTGATGGGTTCTAAACCTGGTTGATATATAAGCCTAAAAGGGCTCCTTCCGTCCAAATGGGGCATCGGCATTTTCTTGGAACCCGTGCCAAAGGATGTGCTGCATGAGTCTCGTTGCTCTGAGGCTCATGACGCGGGTCGAGGACTTGGAGAGGCAGTTGCAACATCGACGCCAGAGCATCGTCCACCGCGGCTGGGATGAACGATGGAGCACTTCGGGGTGCTCAGGGGTTGAGGGGTCAGAGGGTTGTGGGGAGTCCTTCATTGAAGGGCATAGCAAGCTAAAGAAGGAAGAATTACACGCCAATAATTACATTTGGATCTGAATCTATATAATGATATGTAGCTAGAGATGAGATGCCTATCAGTGGAAATGCCACTGTTTCTCCGGCTGAATAAACTACCAAGCGCACCAGAGACAGGAGTTGGGGTCCACAGTTATTGAACAGTATTGCAGGCACCATGTTTTTTGAAGGCTCTGAGAATTACTATCAGAACAAAGCACGCACTTGATTGCTGCTCGACGTCATGTCCACTCACCATTGCACCATAGGTGATGCCAGGCTCGCTGGCACCACTGGTTGACGTGACGTGGCACGCTCGCTCAGGCATCAGCCGTGAGCAAGAGCGGGAAGAGAACTTGAGAAAGTATCTCCGCTATTTGGAGGTGCCAGGGTCGCATCAATCGCATGCGACTGCCAGTCACAGGTGCTGGGGTCGGAAACGGCTGTCACAGCAATGCACATTGGTCAGACATGGTCAGACACCGACCCATAGGACTGCCATGTCGGACTGCCGATCAATTGACCCCCCTTTCACCACCCCAACTGATCGGCAGTCCTATGACAGTCCCATTAGTCGTGTCTGGGATTGCATCCTTTCCAGATCTCGTGAGACGTCAGCATTCCTCCTTCCTCCGGGTCCAAACAGGGGGACCCTGGTGAAACCAAAAAGGCACGGATCCCTCTACAACCTTCCACGGTTTGTATTGCTTTGACCCACTGCCATATTCTTTTCCCCAAATGCAACGTACACAGCGTTCGACATAAATACTTTGATCTCGCCGGTCTTCCACTCCTCGAGATCTTCTGCCCAGATTCTCGCGACATCCAGAGATCAACAGCTCTTCTCCTTTTGGCACGTCGTTGTTGCGCCGTTTTGGGCGCCGTTTTGACCGCGGCGCGTCGCGCCTGCAGGACGCTGACCTGGAAGATTTGCGTCGGGAGATCCGCCTGCGCAAGGATTCGGCACTGCTGAAGGAAGAGACGTCCCTGGGCGGAGCAGATGGGATGGTGGAGATGGATGAAGAATCGGTATGTATTTCCACCACGTGGATGTCGTTGATGTTTGCTTTGGAGATGGATCAGCTGTAAGCAAATGATGAGATCTGCTTTCTTTCTAACGTGTCATACATGAGATTCATGTGTGGAATCCGGCTTCCCCAGAACACCGCACATATACATGATATGGAATCAATTTGCGGGAGACAATCCAAGCCCATGAAATTGTCCATCACCAGTGCTCGCAGGGAATTCAATTGGGAAGAAAACCCCAGATTTGTAATGCACCGAGAATTGTTGGCAAACTTCAGACTGCACATGGAGGCAATTGAAATTGCTTTACCTGTAAATATGGTGGAGTGTACCCATGTGACCTACATGGAATTTCACCATGCTTTGCAGCAGGGCCAGAGGGTATACATGTCTACACAAACAGCTCCCGATCTGCGCTGGTCGAGGCTACGACAGCAGCTCGAGCATTTGCTACCATCACCTCCCTCGCCGAAGGCCAGCTCAGTGGGTCTAGCGGGGCACTGACAGATTTCGGATAGCCAGGGACAGCCGTTGACATTCGTGAAACTGAGGTCATTTAGATTCATTTAGGATCATTTAGGTTTATTGGTTTGTTGTCGCAGGTCCCTTCAAGCTTGATCTTGGAAGTCGAGGGTATGCAACTCATTGAATGGGCTCTTTCGTAGCCAAGCAAGAGGACTTGTTAGGACTTGTTCCGGGTTTGATGCCAACGAGTCTGAACGATATATTTGGATCGCACCATCTTTGCTCTGAAATGCTCTGAATATCTTCCAAGACCAATATGTTCACCTAGTTTCGAAGCAAAACCCTTAGTAAAACAACGATTGTTTGGATTTCAGGCTGTATTTGAATATAGTTGAATTATATTCTAAGACCTTGGAATGATGCCACAGCACGTTCAGGATCTTCAGAACTTGGCTGTAGATGCACACAGACAGCATGGAGAAAAGCTGCCATCATCTACCACTTACAGTATATACTAGCACTTACCATCATTGTGTGCCACTATCATGATGTGGTTCACCATCAAAAAGTCGTCACTACTAGTGGTCCGTGGTCCTTTTTGTCTTGGACTGACTGGTGCGACTGGTGAGGGAATGAGCTTTGAGATTCCGAGCAGAATCCAGCCACCATTCCCGACTCGAGTCACCACCAGACGTTTTGACTGGATTGTTTTGGAAGACGTCGAGGGCCAGGCTGGGCACCAGACAGGGCCAGGCTGGATTCCAACAACCATTCCCAGACACTCCATGGGACTGGTATATATTCCGATCAGTTGGGGTGGTTTGGGAGGTCAATGTAGGCATATATGGCAGTCCCATGGAGTGTCTGGGATTGATTTAATGGTTTAGGGTGTAGCTGGACCAACCTGCTGACCCAATCAGCACAGTCCTTCTATCCATTCACGAAGAGAAGAAGAAAACAGCTAATAAGGTCACTCGCATGAGCAGTCACGGTAACTTGCAATTCCTGCCTCCCGCCATTTTCGCACATCTCCCACCTAACCAGCACTTCGGGATGATCATCCCTACCTACCAAAACAGATGACGTTCGAACACAAAAGAGACACCTGCAACTTCCACCCAACTCATCCAACCGCCCCAAAAGGCCACCGGTGTTCACCGCCCGGGTCACTGCTCCAGGGCGAGCGTGGGCATCGTGAGGAGCGGCTGGAGCGGCAGATTGCCCTGAGGCTTCAGCGGTGCAGTGCAGCTGTTTCCTCGGTTCTACCTTTCGAAAGTAGTGAGAAAGGTCAAAGGGATTCAAATGTATTCAAAGGTCTAGAGGTCCAAGGTTGAGACTCTTTGGTGGGATGGTTAAATGGGATGGTAAAACCTCAATATATATATATATATATATATGGAGGTGTTATTATGTTGTACTTTTTCTTTACCGAGATTCTACATTTATTTAAGAATAGAAGGTACAATGAGGAACGGACCTCTTGATTAGTCATGGACCTTCTTGGGTTGACCTGTAGCCTACTACCTGTGACGCGGAGCTCGCGTTAACAGGACCATGGCTAAAAAGTCGTGGCCGACAGAAAAGACCTACGAGTCCAATCTTCAAAAGGTCGACCTCTTTTTTCAAAACATGCCCGGCACTCGCCGGCACTCGCCGGCGCACTCGCCACCGGTGCCTCCCCACCGAGGGTTTCGGTGGGTTGAGAGGTTCGATGGTAGAAGTTTTGGTGGTTTGGATGGACCCCCAAAATATGGGTCCAGTGGTGGTGCCAGATATGGTTTTTGGTGGTTTTGGTGGTTTGTTTGGACATCTTGCGGTGCCAGTGCCAACCTCTGAAACCATGTAACCTCATCGTGCCAACCTCAGGCGGCAGTTGGAGACCTTGGAGACGAGCGAAGGGTCCGACAGCGTGCGGCGGCATTTACTGGCGCGGCCAGGGCACTGGTGGTCGTCGGCCGGTGCTTTTTTTCGTGGCCGGGGCTTTCTGGCGGTCGTCGACAGTGTTCGTAGGCGTTTGGACGGACACGTGTTCGAGATGGGTGAGTGAGTTCCAGGGCTGGAGGTCGAGTGAGGATTGGGTGGAGATGGGAATGGGATCCAAGTTGGAGATGGGATGGTTATATGTGGGGTGGGTGTCTTAAACCGATTCCTGGATCCAAGATGGTGTCAGTTACTGGTGCTAGTTGTCCTCATTGGCAATGGGGGTCACGTGATTTTGGACGGACAGGCCGACTACGTTGGTTTGGGGGGAGCGCCATGTAAAGTTGGTAAAGATACAAAATATCCACAGGATTAAGTTTTGGTTCCTGTGTCTATTCCATTTTCTTTTATGGAGGATGAGCTTTCATGAGCATGATCCAAGCAGCAATTCAGAGCAAACAGCAATGGTAACCTTCACCCATTGACCATCCATTGACCTAATGCAGGTTGAAGTTTCTGGACTGCAGCAACCACCCATCACAGACAGCTAGACATGCTGTTTTGCTCTAAGAATCAAAGATTTGTGGAAGACTGAAGCACCCTTGGATTGATTGGAGATGTTCCTAAAGAGATAGAAAAGGGAATCCTCGTGCGACGTGGTCAAGGACTCTTTTGGAGTTTATCTTTTTCACACAATTGTGAGTGTGGCCTGAAGAAGCTTATTGTATCCAACCATTGGCCTTCGCCTCTTTTTGGTGCACAGCACGACCTGCCAGGCATTGAAGCAGGCGGAAATGATGGAATTCCAGCGAGAGGCGGGACCGACTGCTTGGCCCTTTTGTTCGCGACTGCGAGGGCGGTGTTTTTTTTTGATGAAACGATATAGTTGTGTTTCATGGCTTTTCATCTCACAAACAAACCTGTCCCAGACGCTCCATATATTGGGGTGGTTGAAAAGGGGTCAATGTAGGTAAATATGGCAGTCCCATTAGTCGTGTCTGGGTGTGGTGAAACCCAGATTTGGCAATTCCTGAAGGCCACAAGTACAAACGGACTGGAACAGAACATCGAGAAAGCAGAGAGGTCAGGACATGTAGATAGCAACCCCAGTCTCATAGGCCTTCCAAGATTATGTGTGTCTTCCAGGTGGCTGCTATGAGCAGGTTCCATGAAGGATACAGTTGGGTCCCAGAGTTGGTTGGATAAGCAAAATCTACAGGAGACCCATAGATTTGGGGTGTGAAAACCATGGTTTGTCGATTTTTCCTTAAGCCTTAAGCCAATCCAATGATTGGATCCTGCAAGCCTTGCAATACACTCATGAGGTCCTTCCTCCTTCATTGACTCTTAGGGATTTGTAAGGGCCAGCGTTGGAGGTGAGGGGAGGATATCATTTTGGACCAAACAGAAAGTCTGACAAGTTTAGACGCGGAGGCCGATCTTTAAAAGGCAACTCTTCAAATCATCGGTGTGTAGCAGTGATTTGTAACCGATGATGAGGGATTTTGGTTTGTCTTCGGATCTAAAGACTTACACTGATGGAAATCTTCAAATCTTCAGATCTGAGATTTGATCGGAATTTCCATCAATGAATGATGCCAGTAGATGTGCAGCCGGGTGATTCTGGGAGGCACCAGTAGTAACCTCTTTTTGTGTACTCATTCGTATTGGAGATTTTTCACACTGGTTCCACCTGTGCAAAAGGACGCGAATGCGGCCAGAACGCACTAGGAACAAGAAGCTAGGTGGCCATCGCTACCAGCTCTTCCCCGGTTCCCGAAACCGGCTCTTTCACCCCACGCGTCACGTGTCCGACCGAACCCCCCGCCCTCGCGCGGTGGACGCGGCTTGCGACCGACACGAAGCGGTCCAGGTGCAGCTCCACCGCATGGAGGATGAAGCGAAAGAGCTGCCGATGCGTCGCTCGGAGGGTAGCGATATGGATCGATCGACGCTTTTCTAGCGATGCTCATGCCCTTTGCTCCGTTCGTGGCGTCCGATCGCTACTAGTAGTAAGGCCAGGAGCCCCGTTCGTAGCGTCTACGTTCGTAGCTTCTGATTCCTAGTAGGAATGGGCTCTAACCTACTAGCGATGGCCAGCGATGGCCTAGCACCTACTAGGCCGTTCCCTTTCAACAAGAAGAGGTGGAGAAAGATCCTCCCTTTTCGACCAGGGATCTGCCGCTCGGGAGTGTTTCCAGTCGTTTTTGGGGTCCTTTCGGTTCGATGTCTGTGGTGTGTCACACTACTTCGACGGGAAGTGGACCGTCGAATGGCGAAGTGACGTGGGTGGCATGGTCCTCGGGGAAGGCCATGTTCCGAATATCACGCAGGGTGGTGTCTAAAAAATCCACGTGATGTGTCAGTGTAGGAGTGATTAGGAGTGTAGGTGTACCGCCCTTGGGGTTGAGTTGGGTCATTGAAGTTTGGGGTTTGTGTTGCCAGATGGCGAACGCTGCGCACGCGCAGATTGCAAGCTCGTGGGAGAGACGTCAATGGACGACCCCTATCCACCGCCCACCCTGGTGGGTAGACGAAAAGATTGAAGAATGACAACATTGTAGGAGGATCAGAACACACCACCAGCACCTTCCAACAGGTCTCCGAAATGGGAGGGTTGGGAAAGGCCCTAACAGGTTTCAATTGGTGACCTGTGAAGTCGGTGCTGGCATGTGATTTTGTTAATTTGACATTAAAGGTCCTTGGTGTCGAGTCAACAGAGCACCGAACTGCATGTGTTCCATGAGCTCCCTTTAGACCTTTAGACCGTGCTCCGCCGATGATGTGTGGTCGAAATGGCTTTACGTAGTTATGTTTTGTTTCAGATGTGCATATTCCGGGCATACCCAATCTTTTGAAGTCGCTCACTCACTAAGTTAGAAGTATTGGCTGTACCTTTGGCCCACCACTTTTCTGGCTAATGTGGACCTCTGGGTATTTGCTCAACCAACGTCTCGCCTCTTCGCTTTGACGGACATGGGGTGTCCGTGTTCAACGTGTTCTTCTCCGTTTGGCTTCTGCGTTCGCTCGCGTCCTGCGCTCGCGGTCACCGCCTGGAGGTCAACAGTTAGAGGAACTGCACGAAGAGTGGCAACGCTTCAGAGCCCGGGGGCAGAGAGTCCACGGAAGGGGTGTTCAACGTTCAACGCCTGCTTTTAGCCAACCTTGCTTTGGACTTGGGGGGGGGATCCACCAAATAAGACTAGGTGGAATGTTTGGATACGCTTTCATATTCCAGGGAAACTGAGGAAGTAGTCACACAAACATGATGGAAATGTGATCAAAGGAACGTAAAACAAATCGCTCATGATAAGATCTTCACCTCTTTTTAGGGTCATTGAAACTGGTGTCTCACTTGCGTCGCCATGATGAGCCCAGAGGGGTTTGCTGTTTTCTCTTTTCGTCAGAGTCCCTCCGCCGGAACCATGACCCTCAGATCAGAGAGTAAGGGACTACACCCACATGGAACCTGAGATTGAACCTTTGGAATACTATTATTTACTCTACAAAACGGGCGTGGTGAACTCAGGTTCCATGTGGGTCTCTTCCAGGGCATCGTGGAAATTCGACGCTGCAATTAGCCGCTAGCCGGAAGATGAACATGTCCGAAGCGGTGAAGATGCAGATTCTGCAGATGGGTGGTGGTCGAAAGTAGACCAGCACCGGTTTGTGCCGGATCCTCCATCCAGCTGTGTAGGATTCCATTCACTTGGGCTAGTTGGGGCAGCTTCTTCTGTGTGCATCACCGAAGACATCCTGCTGGGGACGCTCTTTGGCCGAGGGCCAACTGATGTTTTGATTGGAAGAAACCTAATGGAACCTCATGTTCTTCAAGCCACAACTCGGTTGGAAGCGTCAGTGACTGTCTACTCATCCGGAGCAGCAAAACCCAATCCTATCGAGACTGAAATGTTGATCCTGGATGTGAGAGTTCGTTCAGCTTAAACTCTCAACACAGTTCATTCAGCTTTGACCATGTTGCTTTTTGTGTGCATTGCCATTGCCCACTTTGATATATTTGGCACCGCCTGAGGGAAGAATCTGATTGTGCAATATAACTAACGTAATATTACAATATAGCTCTTTGCCTCCGAATGGAGTCCTAGTAGCGTCCTTGCTCCTAGTAGTAAGGCCAGGAGCCCCTAGTAGCTTCTTGTTACTACTAGTAAGGCACTTGTTACTAGAAGCGATGCACTTGTTCCTAGAGAGTCTGGTACATCTCGGGTAGGTTTCCGCGTTTCTTCAGTCAAGCCTACCAATCCTTTCGACCAGACACGCCGTGCGCTGAGGTCCAGTGTGAGCACGAGCGACAGGCTGCAGAAATGCAAGAGGATCCTCCCAGGGCAACGAGTGCGGCAGGATGGAAGGATCACCAGCATTTTCAGGTAGAGGACGCTACTAGGGGCTCCTGGCATCGCTACTAGGAGCAAGGGCCTTGCTACTAGTAACAAGAAGCTACTAGTAACAAAGGGCATTACTACTAGGAGCAAGAACGCTACTAGTAGCTCCTGGCATTACTACGAGGAACAAATAGCTACTAGTAGCAAGAAGCACTGGTATTTGGCACAGCATGCACCCTAGCGCAGCTTGTTCCATTCCCGAGATCTGTGATCTTAGATGCGCACATTGTGCGTCAATCATCCAGAAGACCATCCCGTTGACAGCGAGTCGGGTAGAGAATGGAACAGAGCCTTGGATCCACATGGTTCCGCTCACCATTTGTCAACCATCCGTTCGCAGCTAAGTAGACTTCCGGTTTACAGGAGTTAACTACTCTTGGCAAATGGATTCCAGGAAGGCAAGCAGCTAATTAAGACAGTCAGCAAAAGAAGTTTTGTTCTGAGTGTAGGAGTCCCTTTCTTTAGCTGGCCCTGGCATGGTGAAACTACACCCCGGCAGGAGCAGATCCTGCTGGAGATGAGCAGCCTGACCGATCATCGCAAGCGTCAAGAACAGGCCACAAAATCTGCCATTGGTGGAATCTGGTGGGATCTAGCTGAATGATGGAGGAAGTATTGTATCTGAACATTCATTGGTTTAATGGATTTTACCAAACAAGAAGACCAATTGTTGTACTAAGGATTTTACACTACAAAGCAGCCAGTTGTTAAGGCTAGTTATATACATACCTGTTGATTCTCCCTTAGTCTAAACAACTGCTGCCGATGTCCCCTCCTGCAGAAGTAGCAGATGAGTGTCAGAAGTGTGCAGGTGTTGTGCTAGCTGCTCTTCCTTGCCACACCAAGAGGACCATGATAGAAAAAATGTGCCTACAAGGCTCATCAAACACACTACACATGGGTGCATCAAGTTCTCCGCCCTCTTCTGCTTGGGGAAGACTTCACCCTTCCGCCGACACCGAACCATCGTGGGAGCCACCGAACGATCGGATCCGGTGGTTCCCGGGATGGTTGACTCATGTAAACTCCTGTGAATGGTTGAGACTGGTGAAAGTGGAAGGGGCTGGAAGGGATATTTTTTTTGTTCAGTATAGAAGGTTTCGGAGCTGAACTCTGATCAAGCACACAGATCAGACATGACTAAGTGTTCATTGACCTGCTGTGCGTTGTATCGGCCACTCATTCATAGCCGATAGAAGAACGCCCCAGCCTCGGGATAGAAACGCCGGGTCAGTCCTGGGGGTTCACCGGGGGTCGGTTCTTAGCGGAAACGCCTGAATGACCCAATCCCGTCCAGTCCAAATGTTTACTTTGTAGAGGTTCAGCTTCCACTCGAACTTGTCGGGAAGGAAGAAGAAAGCAACTTCAGGACGACCTCAGGTCCTGCGCACGGATGTGCCAGTGTGAATAGATCACACCTGGCGCCCCAGTTGACCCCGGAGGGAACCCCACTTTGACCGAAGCGAAGACACATTTTGTGGCCAGGACATGTCCCCAGATACGTCGAAGGAGCGGAGGAGCAAGTCTAGACAGGCTTGGGTGGGGCATGGCTGGGAAATCCAAACCAAACCATCGTGGCTTTGAACACCCAACGGTGGCTTAGACTTTCGACCATACAAAGAGCTGTGCCCAGTTCAAAATTGACTCATGAATAGACGATGTGTTGGAGCAGCCCCCTAGATCTGCAGCCATAACGAGGGTAAGTCACCCTCAATTTCTGTTGGGCCCAACGAAGGGTTGCCTTCAAGGAAAAGGAGGATCATGGAGGATCATACAAGTCCATTTACAGGTACCTTCATCTCAGAAGATTTGGATCACAAAAATGTTCGCAGGCTCAGATATTCCTTCAGGAAGAAGTTTGTGCATTTGACAATGATGCCAGTCCTGAAAATACCGGTTTCTATGTCCTCGAAAGTGATTTGTTTGTTTGTTCCCCAATAGCCATGCTATGGGGTCTTGCAAAACTAATAGGCGGACGGGCGCCGTCGGGTCACCGTCAGAGCTGGTGGGCGGATGGTGTCCCGGTCATGTTTTGATGGCGTCCGGGTCATGTGATGCTGGTGTCCCGGTCATGTTTTGATGGTGTCCCCATCATGTTTTGATTGTGACCCAATCATGTTGTGATGGTGTCCCGGTCCTGTTTTGATGGTGTCCCGGTCATGTTTTGATGGTGTCCCGGTCATGTTGTGATGGTGTCCCGGTCATGTTTTGAAGGCGTCCCGGTCATGTTGTGATGGTGTCCCGGTCATGTTGTGATGGTGTCCCGGGCATGTTTTGATGGTGTCCCGGTCGTGTTGTGACGGTGTCCCGGTCATGTTTTGATGGTGTCCCGATCATGTGATGGTGGCGCGGTCATGTTGTGATGGTGTCCCGATCATGTTTTGATTGTGTCCCAGTCATGTTGTGATGGTGTCCCGGTCGTGTTTTGATGGTGTCCCGGTCATGTTTTGAGTGTCCCGGTCATGTTGTGATGGTGTCCCGGTCATGTTTTGATGGTGTCTCGGTCATGTGATGGTGTCCCGGTCATGTTGTGATGGTGTCCCGGTCATGTTTTGATGGTGTCCCGGTCGTGTTGTGACGGTGTCCCGGTCATGTTTTGATGGTGTCCCGATCATGTGATGGTGGCGCGGTCATGTTGTGATGGTGTCCCGATCATGTTTTGATTGTGTCCCAGTCATGTTGTGATGGTGTCCCGGTCCTGTTTTGATGGTGTCCC